GTGGCCAAACACATTCTTCCCAGTCCTTGTGACGTACAAGCCATTTCTTGCTAGCAGTCCATTATTAGAAAGCTTAGCCCGTTATTTCATTGTAGATGATGGAGATAGTGCCTATGCTGATGGGTATTCTAGAGTTGTAGTACAAGAAAAACTTTTCCCAGCATTTAGATATTGTTGCAGATTCCCAACCATTAATGAGATTTGAGAACAGAGTGTTTTTCAGAGTTTCCTACCTGCAATAAGGAATCTTCAGATGTTTGGCAAAATATACTGTACCAACATGTCTATTCAGTAGTATATATTGCTGGTTCAGCAAGGCCAAATTTTCTTCTTTTCAGATTTCACCCTCTAATGCCAAGGACAAAGGTGTATCAAGTGAGGTATCAAGGATAGCCTGAGGAGGCCATCTTTGGTTGGCTGTTATAAGATTTCCTCCAATGTGATGGAAGGTTTTTGCACCTGCTCCAATTGTTGAAGAAGTTGTTGTTGACCGAGTCTTTTTATTTTCTGTATGTTTGTTGGAAGGATAGTCCTTCTTTGACTTGACCACCTCCTTCTTCAACATCAACAAGGCCAATGGTCACAATAAGCTTAGTTGCAGAGTCAAACTTTATACTGCGGGCTTTAATGATGAAGTGGGGCCTGCCTGAGACACTGAATTGTAGCTCATTGAACCAGAGATATAAGAGCCATCAATACCTCAGAGACCTTTGGGTAGTGTGGGCGGCATATAAATTAAATAAATAAATAAATTAAATAAATAAAATCAACTATTTTAAACCAAAGGTAGGAAGGGCTGCTGAAGTCACAGCAACAAGGGCTTTCTCACAAAAGCAAAATTTTAGCTGAGCACTTCTATTTCTTCCTATACGGGCAGGAAAACTGCAACAAATGTTCTAGACCAGTGGTTCTTAACCTTGGGTTACTCAGGTGTTTTTGGACTGCAACTCCCAGAAATCTTCACCACCAGCTGTGCTGGCTGGGGTTTCTGGGAGTTGCAGTTCAAAAACACTTGAGTAACCAAGGTTAAAAACCACTGTTCTAGAGACAGTGGCCTTGTGGCTTTAAAGATACACTTATCATGGAGATATGAAATAGCGATCTTTCACTTAAACTTTAAGAAAAACCCAGAGGCAATAAAGAAGAACTATTTACTAAAGTAACTTTTTTCTTCAAGAACAACAGCTCTAATGAAGGATACCAAAAATATATATAAGAAAAGGAAGAATACTGGTATCTGTGCTTTAAAGATAAGGCTGTAGCTGCTGCAGGAGACAAAACAAAGTAAGGGAAGAAGCACTGGAGCATGCGCTATAGAGGAGGAGGAAGGGGACCAATGATCAAAAGCTCTCAGTCTTGAGGATTTCAAAAGAGGCAGCTCTGTGACAATGCAGACCCCTCAGTGAGAATGCAGAGACCACAATAAAGAACTGTGTGTTTCAGGAAAATCTGATCAACAGAAATGAGCTGGAAAATTGTGCCATAAATCCCTCCAGGGATGTCTTCTCCACACATGGGCACGTTTTCTGCGCTGCTGAGAGTTGCACAAACATCATCCATTAGTGTCACTAAACAGAATCAGGCATAAAAGACTAATAAAATTAACAGAATATTCTTTTCACTCACAATGACTCCTTTTCAAACTGAGACATGGTAACAAATGAGGTACCCCTAGGCTCAGTCCTGGGCCCAGTGCTCTTAAACATTTTAATTAATGACTTGGATGATGGAGTGCAGGGAATCCTTACCGAATTTGGAGATGAGACAAAATTGGGCAAAATATCTAACACCTTGGGAGATTATGAACAACATTCAAAAAAATCTGGATAGGCTTGAGCACTGGGCTGAAAACCACAGAATGAAGTTTAACAGGGAAAACTGCAAAGTTCTACACCTAAGAGGAAAAAAACCAAATGCAGTTAGAAGATGGGGGATACTTGGCTCAATAATACAAGTGAAAAGGATCTTGGAATTGTTGATCACAAGCTGAATATGAGTCAACAGTGTGATGTGACTGCATTTTAGATGTATTAACAGACATATAGTCTCTAAATCCCACAAGATGCTAGTTCCCCTCTATTTGGCATTGGTTAGGCCTCATCTAGAGTAGTGTCACCAGTCCTGGACATCACACTTCAAGAAGGATTCCAACAAACTGGAGCAAGGTCAGAGGAGGGCAATACGGATGATCAAGGGACACGAAACCAAGCCCTATGAGGAAAGACTGAAAGAACTGGACATGTGTAGCTTTGATGAAAGAAGACTGAGGGGAGATATAATTCCACTTTTCAAATACTTGAAAGGTAGTCATACAGAGGAGAGGCAGGACCTTTTTCTAGACCAGTGCAAGACACGCAACAATGGGCTCAAGTTAAAGGAATCCAGATTTAGGCTGAATATCAGGAAAAACTTCCTAACTGCTAGAGCAGTATGACAATGGAACCAATTACCTTGGAGATGGTGAGCATTCCAATGCTGGAGGCATTCAAGAGAGAACTGGACAACAATCTGTCAGATCTGCTTTGATTTGTATTCCTGCATTGAGCAGGGGGTTGGATTCGACAGTCTTATTTTT